GACGGAAAATTTGTTGATTTTGACGGAGAATTCGTCGATTCTGCCCAAGAATTACATGAAATGAGTGATGGAAATTGCGCCGTGAGAGCTTTACAGTATTAGATTTAATAAATTCCAAAAAAAAAGGTTGAGGAGGCGGCCAAAAAAAGGATTGGATTTGTGATTATGGGCAAGGTTTTTCGAGAAATGGAATTTACCGATTATGATTTAAAAGTTAACAGCAGCATCTGTTTTGGCCAAGAATCTCCAGCCGGAAATTGTCTTTAAAAGGGCTACCAGCTGACCCTTTTTTATGGGATCATCGATATCCTCAAAGTGTCGAACCGGAAGGACAGAACTCACCTGCCTCTTCACCGCCATTGTGCTAAAGACAATAACGAAGCTGACAAAAGTTAGAGAGCGAGCACTGGCTGTAACAGAAAAAGCGCTATTGTAAAGGCATCTGCAAAGAAATTAGTGTTCGCTTGGGATGACTCCAAAGCGGTAGTGCATATCGGATAGGCGATGATTATTAATTGTAAATATGGAATTCAATATCGAAAGGCCTGGCACAGCTGTGCCTGATGTATGGAAGCATCCCGGTAACATTACCAAATGGGACCCGCGCTAATTGTGGCCTGTTTTGATACTGTAATTAGGAAAGATATTATTTGCAAGTGAACATATGGTGATTTCAGAAAGCCGGATATATCAGAAGAGCTGTTACGTGATCCGAGACTTCTTTTGCAGAAAGCAAGCGATGTACTAAAAAGTTTACAGACTCAGGAACTAGCTGCAGCTGCTGAGCGAACGATGGCTGGTTCGTTTTTGGCTGTAGATAAATTAACCGCAGTACATATGGTGCGGCCCCTCTTCGTAATTTTGGAGCTGGCAAAGTTTAGTATGAGCTGTTGGTCATCCTAAAAAAGATCAAATTTTCATGCCGAGAAAGATGACTGGAAAATTACATGAGATCTACATGATAATGAACTGCATAAAAGTTTGCGAAGCGCTTAATTTCAGGCGAATTGCCGATCTGTTCTGCTTTAGGGGACAAAATAAACGTTAGGTTTGTCAGCAGGCTAACCACATGCATTGTAGCATTAGGAAATATTACCAACTGCGTGGCTGGACAGCCAAACTATGATTTGCAATAGATTCAAGACGTAA